CGCAAAAACCGCGATAGAGTGAAGCCGCAGAAGTCGAAGCGCGAAGTGGCGAGGGTTCACTGTATTGTTAAGTCTTAAGACTTCACGGGACATTTGGTTTACGGTTTAAAGACTGCCTCTGACCACTGCTTTCTAGGGATCATCCAGCCTTCATGGCTCTAGAGGTTCCAAAGTCCATGAGAATTCAAAATTCTGTCTGCACTTTCCCTCTTTTCATCAGGACTCTTCTATGTGATCTTTGATCAAAATATTCAGTTATGGCAGCCAAGCATGATCCAAGTTCTTCTGGTCTCACAGGCAGGAAGGTAGTTAGTTATTCATGGAGGCCATTAGGCACACCTTCCATAGCCTCCTCATATTCCCGTCTCCTCTTCTGGCTACATTGCTCTAGGTGAATAGAAACCACAGTTATGCTTGGCATGGTCAACTACCAAGCTTTTCAGACCCCAGGAACTATGCACTCAGTGAACTATGAGGTAGTTCAGCACACAGCAAAATGAACCTAGATGTCCCAAGAAACAAGATCTTGAGAACACTGTTTTAAAAAAAACTTTTACTTTCCACCAAAATTAGTATTCTTAATTTATATACAGTGAAGCAAATCCTCCTTTAAGTTGTGATTTAAGGTGTGTGAAACTGTAAAACTATATCTACTAGAGACATTAAAAAGCATAGTCATATATGACCAAATGATTTTTAAAAAACGGTCCAAGCCAGATTGGGAAGGATTAAGAAAAATGAAGAAAATTATGAACACTCGAATGTTCATATTGCTATGAACTTGATCCCCAGGCCATGGATTTTGGCTGGTCACTTTAAGAATTAGTGAACTTCATTATAAAAATTTTTATTTCCAGAATGACTTTATTATAAGTGGTTAGTCTTTTGTCTAATCCTGTGCAAATTACGAAGCACTTCTTTCACACATAACATTTCAAAATTAGAAGACCCACTTCAGGCACTAGACCACCCTGCTTCAACAATGGGCTTCCACAACAATGTGCCTGTGAGAAGCATTTGGGATATAATATCACATGAACATTGAAACAGGTTAAAGCCTATGGCTGATTGATAGGGTCCCAGATCCATGCTCAAATGGGAAAAGCAAGGCTTCAGACACACCTGCTACTTCTAAATTTTATTTGGGGCCGCCCCGTGAAACACCAAGTACCCCGGCTTACCTTGCTAAAGGGCGCCTGGCTCTATTAACAGCTTCAAGATCAGCATAGCGGAGATCTAGCTGGCAGCCAACTAGGACGACAGGTGTGCGAGGGCAAAAGTGCTTGATTTCTTGATACCACATGGTTTTCACATGATTTAGGGAATTGGGATTAGCGATCGAAAAACAGAGAACCACAACATCAGACCTAAGAGGAAATAACAAAAGAAGCTATATTACCTGTTAACTTAAAAAAATAAAATTAAGACATGTCGGTACCTTCTCCTCCCCACTGCCCATCGCCTACCCCCTATCAAGTACCACAACATGGCACAATTAAAAAGGAAGAAATAAAAAGAGCAGCTATTTAAATACATCTCGGACTCATGCAAACAGCCCGAAAAGCCCCCCCCCCCATTCCAGCACTCACATAGCTGAACAGTCCATTTCCGTGCTGCACTGCCGAATGCGTGTGCATGGAAACTTCCCATGAAGTCATTTACGAGCTAGAGGATTACCTCAACTTTACTCAGTCCTGCATCCACGTCATGCCGAACTATTTCTGCTCATCACAAGAAATAGTTTCAAAGAAGCCATCCCCCCCCCCAACTCTTACCACCTTAAACACAACAGTGATGATGATTCAACCCAATGAGATAAAAGCAAACAGTTTATATGTTACTGAAAATGTAATGGAAGTATTTACTGTACAGGGTCAGCAAATACACAAAAGGAGTGTGGCGGCCCTTCTTCCCGCTCCTGCACACATGTAGACAGCATAATCACTTATCTGTTTCCATTTTTAAACATCCTGAATTTGTAGGGAATCTGACTCTTTACTAGGGAGAAGGCAAGAAGGCAGTATTTAACACATGACTAAGCACGAGTGAGAGGGGTAGCTCATGAGATGACACAATGCTAGAAGCAGATTTCTCAGATGCTGTGCGACACATAACAGGTATATGGGAAAAAGAAAGAACTCCTTTATAGTCAATTTTGACATAAGGATCTTCCATTTTTACACAATAACTTACCATTCTAGAAGCCAAAGAACTGTTTTATATAAAGGTTGCTCAATGATGGTATTTGACAAGTAGCTGCTAACAGATGTATAAACCATAGTTGTGAGTTAAAACATGTAGAATGATGACTTTCAAAACGTGGAGGCAGAAGAATGTAAAGAATCAGACAATGATTCCCAAGGACGGAAAACCGTTCTGCAGCTAAATCTAGAAATAAACTCTTACAATTTTATTAGATGTTAATTTATTGCCCCTATTGTTTATGTAATGAGAAGAATCAAGTTGATGAATCAAAACACCTTCTTTTTAAATCATTAATGAGCTACTCCCCCTACATATCAATGAGGACAAACCAATATATCCGGGCAACCATAAAACTTCTAAAAATAATCATTTGCAGCGCAGAAAACTGCAGGGTGCTTATATTAAATGTAATTCACAAGTTGAGTCTTTAAATTTATATTCAAGAAAAATGGCACCAAACTGCAATAAATCGAGGAGAAAAATCCCAAGATTAAAATGTTTTCAAATTATAAAAAGCTTCTAGAATCAAAGTAGATTAACATATTAATCAGCATGCTTAGACTCTCCCTGAAATAAAGATAATATCAAAGATTCTTGGACAATGGAAAGATTCATGTAAAAATATGCATAAATATATAAATGAAAAGGCAGACTGTCTTGTCTTCCGGATCCTAGTTTAGTTAGTGGAGTCTCCTGGGCTCAGTCTGCCTTCCAATCAGCAGAACTAACAGCACCCAGCAAAGCCAAGAATGCTTTGGGTTTCACGTTTTCTTAAGCGATGACCTTCTGTTACTCACAACCCTATTTATATTGGGTATTTTGCCCAGCTTTGCCCTGATCATGAAACAATTTTATTATCGTGAAACTAATATGCCACCATCTGAGGGTCAATATCATACAGAAATAGTTCAGGAAATAGAGCCAGTATCTAAATGTGGACTAGCACGTCTATGTATAAAATTACTTTAATTGGTGCCTTCTGTTTCTATATTCAATCACATAGCTATCAAGGAAATCATTCTCAGAGTTTAATTTAAATGACAGACACATAGCTAAATGTCTACTCTATTCTCCAATTTTATGATACCCCATGTGAGGTTTTGAAATCAGAGCTAGCTCTGTTGCCAAGGTTACCATGATAACATTCGAGCTACAGAACACACTAGTTACTATCCAGATGACCTGGAAACAAGTGCCGACAGGACCTTGGGGGTTGGACAATGGAATCTTGTGATGCTGTTAGTACACAATGTGGTTCCAGAGGGCCTAAATGCTAACTATGTTGCATCCATATCTAAAAGCATGGAATACTGTCAGAAAGCTGAAAAACAAAACAAAGAAAAAAAACCCAAAAACCGACAATTGCTACTCTGTAAATATTTGGCTTCAAAAGGATGCTAAAGATGCTATACTGAGGGCAACTGTCTGAAGCTAAAATAACTTCTTGAGTCAAAATTCCATTTTTCTTTTAGGAATAAGGTTGTTTTTTATTCCCGTTTAAATTCACATTGAGGTACTATAGAATGTGTCTCACTAGTTTACATTGAACACAGTTGAAAAATAAGACCTGACTTTAACTACCCACTTGCTTAAAATGGCTCTGGTTTAGAGCCTGATGGTTTCACTCCACATGCAAGCTAAGAAAACAGATGGATTCTATTTAGGCCCAGAAAATGAATACGGTACTCTAAATCGGATTTTAACAAAACTGCTGGGATCAATGGATGCAGTGACAGAACGAAAGGAAGAGAGTTAATTTTCAACACATCAGTATCTTCTGTGGTATAAATACCTGTGTGACCAAGTCACTATTTGGAGAATGTCACGTTGCTGTTGCTTTTTCTCTAGAATTTGGGGCCAGCTTTTTAAGCAGTCAGAGAAGGCACATGGTCCGTAGCTAAGACTATATCCAGCTGTAAGCAGAAATCTAAGGAACTGCAGATATTAAATAACGTTTAATCAAAACATGCATTCCTGTGTGGAGGCTGTTCAATGTCTGACATTAGCTTGTGTTTAAAAATGCCATTCCTATGAATGATGAAAAGAAAACGGCAAGTGCTAGTATTTCTACTTCTAAGGGCCTGTTCCTTTTTTTTTTCCCCTAAACTTTGAAGATGAGTTTAAAAATAATTGGGGCGGGGGAGTGTGATGAGAGCATTCTCACACGTTCAGCTGCACGGTTAGTCCAGCAATGGCCTTGAGGCTCCTATTTCAGCTGTAAAAAGCATCTGATGGGATTTAAAGGGAGTGCTACAGCTCGTTGGAGTGGAAAGCACAGGAATTTCAGAGGGCAGAGACAACAAGGGAGTTGCTCAAACTCCCAATTCCAGAACATGAACACTCAGAGGGAGAAAGAGGTTTGGAAAGAAAGTATGTGTGCATGCATGAAAACGTCTTTTTTGTTTCTTCTGAGAGGAAAACAGGGTTTCTTGTTTCTAAGGCGAACAATCAATATAAAAACTTCAAATCACATAAGAAGAAGCCTATAAGAGGATGTTTTGAATTGGCAAGTAAAAAATAACCCGAAATAAATGAATGGCGGCATTAGAGACCAATGGGAAGCTCCAACTTCACTTGGGTGAGGAAGGGATCCAAGCAAGGCCAAATGCTCAGAGATGCCTCAGCTGCGAAAGCCCACTGCAGCCCGGCTAGCTTTTCTCCAGATGTGAAACCCAAACTAGCATTTTTTCCCCCCCAGTTACCTTTCAAGGAAGACGCTGGCTAAAGAGAGCAGATGAAAGGTGGGCAAAGATATTTGGATAGCATAAGGAGTACCTGCAACATTGGGGCCAAATTTTTCTTGGAAGATAAAGAAAAACGATTGTGAATAAGTGCCCCCCTTACCCACCCATCCTGGCCTGAGCTACACTTCGAACAGCAAATGCCGCACACTTTACCAAAGGCTGTCTTTATAATGTCTACAGTCAACTACAGCAAATGCAAAGTGGAAACCTCAGAGTAAACCAGAAGCCAAACTGCATCTTCCATCTGAAGCATCATTATTATCCTATGAAAAAGTAGTTGGAGAAAGGTAGGTACAAGTAGTATCTTCAACTAGTTGGTGGGAATACATTTTCTAATTGTTCCCTGTCTCCAAAGTTCTATCCTAGGGGTACAGACAATTAAGTGTTGGGCTGCTAACTGAAAAGTCAGCAATTTGACCACACTATCTGCTCCAAGAGAGGCAGACTGGGCAGACTCGCTTCTTCTTTTAAAATGAACAGCCCCAGGAGCATGACAGAGCAGTTCTAGTCAGTCTATGGGGCTTCTGTGAGTTGATATTGGTGCACAGTAATGGGTTTAGGTTTCCTGTCCTAGTCTCAGCTACTTAGCCACCACTGTCCAGCAAGGGCCTGCGGTATTTTCATCTGCTAAGTGAATGAATAACTCCTAAAGCATTCTTTACTTAAGAACCTAAGATCGGGCCAATTGTATAGGCAATGAAAAATATGGAATCGATTCCATTTAGCCCTCCAAATATCAGCGAGTGAGATGATCAGGTACCTTTTCCCAATGTCCCCAATTCTGCCTGGGTCACTTGCTGGAGGAATGCTTCACGACCCAGAGGGAGTTAATAATATTCACCCGAGTTCTTCTGGAAATATCTCCTTTTAATGTACATTTGTGCACTTGAAGGTCCTGGCGAAATAGTGGGTTAGGAGTTGGACTGGTAACCCCAAGGTCAACAGTTCGAAAACACCCGCTGCCGCTTGGTAGAAAGAAGAGGGTGTCCGCTTCCATAAAGATTTACTGCCTTGGCAACCCTGGGGGTAGTTCCGCTCTGCCTATGGATAGGCCAACTCAATGGCAGTGAATCTTGTACAGTTTGTATTTTAAAGTTCTTTGTTCTTTACAAAGATCATATCTTCTTGTCATCACTGCCTCTTATCATTGTTATTTAAGTTTTTGGTAGAGATTTACATAATATTGATATTGGCACAGACCAGGGTCACACTTAACTGGCTCTTTTCTTTGCCAACGAAGTGCAAGCCCCTCTGGGGCTTTAAGCTTCCTTCTCCTCCTTGATAACCAAAGAAGGCTCTTTGCAGAAATCGTTTTCAGAACCACTTATGTCAACAACATATCTTTCATGCACATAGTCTGACAATGCTATGCAAACAGACAGATCAAAACATCACAAAACAGCTGGGAGCATGGCAGAGAATAAGGGATGTGTAACACGTGGCTGTGGGAAATGTTAGTAGGGGAGCAGCCCGGTGTGTATGAGATGCAGAGCGAGTTGTCAGTAATGGTGAACGTAACCACCTGGAGATGGATGGCTGTGTAAGTTCACACTCATGGAGGATGGAGAGGCCTGCGGGGGGAGCGCCTGGCAGGGGGTCTGGGGAGAGCAGGGCAGTACCATGCAGCGCCCTGGATGTCAGCAGAGAAATCAAGTCAATACTTTACCAATAGCAGTGAGGCTTCTTAAGTACAGATGTTATGTGGGGGAAACTGTCAAAACACCCTGAAACATAGCCAGATTTGGGAGTGATTAGCATGCGCAGCTATTTATTCCAGGTCCATAACCGCATGTTTAGTGGGAAGGGACATTTTCAACCAGTCTTCCCCCACCCACCCTCAAAAGGGTCTAAGCATGTTCCTAAGTGCAGGAAGGCAGCAGCATCAACATCCCACCAAGGCCATCGAGTTTGAAAAGTGGTTGGCTTGGCTATCACAGCACACAAATCTTAGAGAGCCCTCGTCCTCCATTAAAGGCTCAAGTATTGTCATCCAGCCGAAACAAGCTATTCTTCATCTGATCCCCCATTTTTCTATAGTTGGCCATCTACGTACCCTTTAGTATATTCTGGCACCTCACATGTTCATTAAAAAAAAAAGAAGAGACACAAATGCCCATAAAGTTGGGGAAAGCATAGCAACTTGTAAAGAAATTTCTGAAGCAATCTCATTTAACTCCTGACCAATAAATGCAGGAAACACTGACATAAAGAAGATCTACTTAACAGAGAAGGTGAAATTGTGCTAATAATCCCTCCCCAACAGCACTCTCATGCTCATTTCTTTTAAACTTTTCCTGAGACTAAATGGCCGTGGAACTTCTTCCTAGGCTGTTAATGTGTTCTCTTGAGGGCAAGACGGTAGCTGAAGCTAGACGGCAGGCTCTGCGTTAGGCTGAAGGACAGCTGGTGGGGCTCTGGGATTCACCTCCCTGACTCTGCTGAGACCAGGCTCTGAGACCAGCAAGATCATCTCACCACAGGAAGATAATGCATGGAGGCTTCTCAGCAACTCTCTTTGAACGGGACTTGTCAAGTCCCTTATCCAATGTCAATCCAATGTCTAGATCATTTTTTCCATAATTAGTAGCTGAAAACCGCCTTTGTATACCAGGCACCCTCCTATTCACTCAGGATACAGCAATCACTACACCAATACATTGTCAGTGGAAAAGAGAAACAACGAACAAGAAAAACTAGTAAAATATGTAGTATTTTTAGGTAATGATAAGTGTTAAACAGAAAGAAAATATAGCGGAAAAGCTGGGGGCGGGGTGTGTGGCGGGGCTGACAAAGTACTGGGGAGCAGAAGAACCCTGATGCGTCGGGGGTCACTTGTGGGGCAGTTAACTACAGGCTCAGCAGTTGGAACCCGCCATCTGTTCCAAGGAAGGCAGATGAGACTGCCTGCACCCTGAAGGACTTAGTCTCAGAAACCAAAGGGGCAGCTGTCCTCTGTTCTACAGGGGAACTCTGACTTGGATTCCATGACAATGGTGGGTGGGGAGAGGGGGCTGCGCACAGAAGGTGGCAGTTAAATAACATTGTGAAAGAAGCGAGAGAATGCTGAGGTCTGGGAGAACTTTGTGGAAGAGGACACTAAGTGCAAAGGCCCCAGGCAGGAGGAGCATGCCTAGGATGCTTGCCTGAGGGAAGAGACCAAGTTGCTGGAGTGGATGGTGAGACAAGGTACCTACCTAGCTCTTGCTCTGAGTGAGCTAGAGGCCGTCAGGCGTTTTTATGTACAATGACATGAGATAATTTAAGTTTCAAAAGTACTACACCATTGCTGAAAAACTGCTGGCCCATTAAGTGGTAATAATCCAGGGAGAGAAGATGGTGACATCTCTCTGCCCAGAAGCAGTACTGGCGGTATGAAATGGCCCCATTCTGTATAGGAAGGTGCTTCAAAGCATCCATGGAAAATGGAATTGAAAGGTAATAGAATTTTTCCTTTTGAAGTTTCATGAATATATTAAAAGTAAAGTCAATTAGGGTTTGCTGGTGGACTAGATGTAGGAACTGATGGAAAAAGTGTAAACAATGCTTAGGTTTCTGGTCTGAACAATATTTTCCTTCCTTTTCCTGGTGTGGACATCTTGGCTCAATATTTATAACACAGAATTGTTATTATTTCTGTTGCCAGGTTCCACCTGAAGGTGTGAGTTCCTAGGGCAAGAATCTTGTCCTATTTCTATTCATGTCTCCCCCATTGCATAGAATATAGCCACAATGTTTGTACCAGAAAAAACTTTACATTAACAGTTACTGAATCAAATGGTCTTATAAATACTGGAAGGCAAAAACTGCAAATATACAAAGTCTGAAATAAATTAATATTAAGTCTAATGGTAGTCTGCAAGGCGATACGCTGGAGTTATAAGAACAAAATTGTGTGTTTGCTATTATATTTCCTCAGACTATGATCGCTGAAAGAATGCCATGCAAAATCTCTGGTACACAGCAGCAGTTAATGAGTTAACATTAAAAATGTTTAATTTATCTAAAATATCCATTAAACCATTTACCTTTCATAAAACCAGAAAAACAAAAGATTAATGACCCTTTGAAAAGGATACGTAAAAGAAATGTAAAACTATTGGGTGGCTTACTTTGAGGATTTATTCGGATACGCTGCACCAGAACAAAGGCTTAAGAAAGCCCTATGGATGCCTGGTGGGGTTTGATCAAAGGAAATGTAGCAGAGAGGAGTTACCAAAATCCGAATGAAGGCTGAACATGACAGTGGGACAACAGGAAAGCAAAAGGAACTAGAGGAAAGAACTAGAAGGCAAAGGACATTTACAGTGGTCTAAATAAGGCACATATGTAGGTAAATATATTTATATATAATGATAGGAAAATAGATCTATGTGCATATATTTCTATGTGAAGTATTAAGGTAGCAGATGGACATTGGGTCTCTACTCAAGTACTCCCTCAAAGCAAGAACACTTTGTTCTAATAACTTGGTATTCTGTGATGCTCACCTTCCCGACATGATTGCTGAAGACAAAATGGGTGCAAAAGCAAATGTGGTGAAGAAAGCTGATGGTGCCCACCCATCAAAAGATTTAGCATCTGGGGTCTTAAAGGCTTTAAGATAAAACAAGCGGCCATCTAGCTAAGAAGCAACAAAGTCCACTTGGAAGAAGCACGCTAGCCTGTGGGATCATGAGGTGTCGAAGGGATCAGTTATCAGGCATCAAAGACCCAGAACAAAAAAATCATATCATTGTGAATGAAGGGGAGTGTGCAGTGGAGACCCAAAGCCCCTCTGTAGACAACTGGACATCCTCTTACAGAAGGGTCCACATGGAAGAGATGAGCCAGCAGGGTGTAGTACAGCACTGATGAAACATAAAACTTTCCTCTAGTTCTTTAATGCTTCTTTACCCCCCACCCCCCACCCAATCTGATCCTAATTCTACCTTACACATCTGGCTAGACCAGAGCATGTACACTGGTACAGATAAGAGCTCTCAACACAGGGACTCCAGGACAGATGAACCCCTCAGGACCATAATGAAAGTAACAATACCAAGAGGGTAAGGGGAAGGTGCAGGGAGAAAGGGGAGAACTGATCACAATGATTGACATATAACCCCCTCCCAGGGAGATGGACAACAGAAAAGTGAGTGAAGGGAGACAGCAGTCAGTGTAAGACATGAATATATATATATAAATTATCAAGGGTCCTGAGGGAGGAAGGGTGGGGGAGGGGGGGAAAGAGCTGATACCCAGGGCTCAAGTAGAAAAGAAAATGTTTTGAGCATGATGATGGCAACATGCGTACAAATATGCTTGACACAATGGATGGATGAATGGATTGTGATAAGGGCTGTACGAGCCCACAATAAAATGATAAAAAAGAGAAAGCCCTCTCTATTTCATAGACCATCTTCATTTTTAAAAAACAAACCTAAATAAATCACTAAAATAATAATAAAAAAATCTCCATGGTAACAAACCTAAAAGAGATTTGCTAATTTCTCTTACCTTTCTGCAACTGGGTTTTCTATCTTTCTTACTGTCCCCTTTAGGCTGGACTGGGAGAGCTTTAGGGGCAATCATGTTGGAAATATACCGAGGGTACAATGTGATAATCAAGGCGACCACAGGACACAGAGGTTAGCGTGCTTGGCTGCTAACCAGCAGCTTCCCAGGAGAAAGGCGTGGCCGTCAGCTTCCTTAAAGACTGCAGCCCTGGAAACCATATGGAGCAAGTTCAACCCTGTCCTATAGGGTCACTAGGAATCAGCATTGACTTGACACCCAAGGCATTATTGGATAAGATGATCACGAGGATTCATTTAAACCAAACAAAACCAAAACTATCTGTGCAAATGTCCTACAAGCTGTAAAGTACCAAGTATTTCCCAGCAAATATAATTGGGAATGAAAACATCTTCACTATCTCTTGTTTGATGCAGCTAAAAAGAATGGCGGGCATTTTTCATTAAAAACTCTTTGCTTTTGGATTTGTCTGTTTGGGTCCTTTATTAATAAGGAAATACTGAAACATTGCTAACAGAAATGTTCTATGAAATCATTGCAGAATTACTCAACAGTCTTTTCTCTCTTAACCACTTACTTCGAAAGGAAAACTGCATGGACTGAAATACATTTTCTTTATCAGAAAGTTCTTGAATAGAAACATCATCAACAGTATTTTTTTTCCTTCCTAGATAAAAGATCAACATTGAAGACAGCTATAGTTGACCCAACTCGTCAAACTTGCAATTATTAAGCAGTAATAGAAAATAAATAAAAGGAAGGCAGAGCCCAAGATAAAATAAATGGTTATGTCTCTTATTCTTTGTATGCACGTGGGTCTCATCTCGTCTCTTGAGCCCAGCAATGCTCTTTCGGGGCTGCACCACCAAGGACCTTCTTTCCGGGCCATGCAATCCATGCTTGGGCTGCAGCCAGAATCCTTCCAGGTCCTGGACCACGCGTCAGCCAAAGCCAATGACCATGCCCGATGGCTGTCTCTGTTGACACTGCTGCTTCCCAAGGACAGTCTCATCCCGGGCACAGGACTGGGCCGGGCAGAGGAACCCAACTCTTCTGATATTTGTCTTTTTGTTAAAATAAGCAGCCTTCCAGTAGTAATCAACCATCAATTGGTTTGCCCAATTTTCCCCATGCTTGCACAAATGTATTAAAAAGACACCTAATTAAAAAAAATTAGTCTTTAAAATAGGAACTAATTTGTGAATAG